AATGATAATGTGGGAAAGGATATCTATTCTTACAACTAACTCAACTTGAATTCTTGACTTAAAACGGTCTTTCTGGAAGATGGGATGAGGAAGGGAAAGAGACTTATTCTTACATAAGAAGTCCTAGCTTGTGCTCTGTAAATTGCTGCTAGAGAACCATCAATACTGAAACTCATCTCAGCGGTAGGTAGTTTCCTGACGTTGTGGTTGTTATTCAGTTACCACCTATCTCCCTTCCAGGCCTCCTAGTAACACTGAGAAACCTACGGTCACTGTGTGGCATCAGATCCTTATAGCTTGCAAGTACAAATACAGCAGAACCTTTCTTGCTCTGAGGACTTCAGAGAGACTCCCCCGCCCCAGGACGCACTGGCCTGTGCTGAGCAGGAGGTACAGGAGGACCATTCACAGAGCAGGTTTTCAGCTTTAACTGCTCCTAATGTCCCTAGTTCCTAGGGCTCTAGATTCCTAGAAATCTAACTGCTGGGTGCAAGGGTGGGGGCACATCTGCAAATCTTAGTTCGTTCCCCTAACTCACTACTGAAGATTTGCCTCCACCGCAGTTATTAAAAAAATCTAATAAACAGGTAAGTTATAATGAATGATTGATTATAAGCACGATCACTTGTCATCGAAAAAATGTGGTCAGTGTTTAAAGCAACCACTTTGGTCTCTGCTATACTATAAAAACTGCTTAAAAAGGACTGGAATATTTGTTCTTCATTTCATTCCATTCACTTACTTGGAGAGAGGTCCATGAACGTAAACCAGAGTTGGTTTCAGGCTCTCAAAACTGCCAGGGAAATATTTAAAATGAGTGAATTTCCAAATGATGGCCAGTTCAGTGATGTCAGAGGGCCTATAATATTAAATAATCTATAAATAAACTACTAACCAAGTTAATTATCTTTTGATGCTGCTACTGCATCATTTGTCTCCCAACCTAGGAGATTTATAATCAGCCCAATTCCACCAACAAGGAGACTCTCAGACTTGCATGTTTTCACCGGGCAGAGCCTCTGTTTCGCTAGTACCCAGAGAAGGACCCGGCACGTAAGGGCACTCGGCTGCTCAATGAGGACTGGAATGTACGTAGTACTAGTCAGCTAGACCTCATACAACCTTCTATAGATGCCAAAGCCACATTCGACGTACATACAGATACTGCATGGGGAAAAAACGTTGTTCCAGCAACCTTCAAAGTTAGTAATAACAAGAAAACTGCTACTTAGAGACAAATAAAACACAAAATTCATTTTAATCTCTATATATCAAATACGGCCTCAGCAAAGAACATCTAACACACATGAAATGTATTTATGGGACACACTAAATGAAGCAAACCCTTACTAAAATATTTGGCCTGACCCTCACATCTTTTAAATGAACTCCATGATGGCTGAGTAAGGTGGGAAATCAATCATCTAGCTACCTAACCTGGAAAAGACAGATGAATTGTCTATTTAGTCTCTGCAGACTGGGTATTTACCATTCTGAGTCTTGCAAAGTTGGTTCTGCAAAGTTAGCTTAACTCAGTCAATTACATATTTTTCCACAGTTACCTTAATATTTTGGTGTTTTTTTTTTTTTTCATTTGCTATTGCTTTTTCTTTTATGGCTTCTTGCTGCTGTTGTATTAGGGCATACAACACAGATCAGAGATTTTCATTTCTCAGAGAAGTTTCTCTCCTTGAGAAATTGGCACTTTGATCCTCTGCTTGTTTAACAGCTACATATAAATGGATCCTACCAGCATTGTTACCAGTCTTGCTGCTTATGAAATTCTAGCACTTTGGCCAAAAGGGTGCCCTGACATTAAAGTCTTCTTAGGTGAACTCTTCCCACCACCAAATTCTTTTATTTAAACATGTCCGGGTGTGTAATTCACATATATGTAATATCATAAGTTTCTACACACATATACACATTTAACTCGTAAAAGTGAAATGTCTCTCTTGAATAAAAAGTAATTACAAGGGTATTAAAACAAATGCTGAAAATAACTATTTTACATTTAGATCATAAAAATTTTAAAGGTAATATGATGACATAAGACCTAGGAGATCAAACACATCCTGTATGATTGTCATATATGCACGTTGTGTTCATTGACTTTTAGTTATTTTTCTCTTTAATCAGAAAATAAAAGAGCTTACCTTTGTTTACTGAGACCACAGCTTACAGTCACTAGATCTCAGCCTATTTTATACAAGTGATATGGCTACGGAGGTCCGAGGAGAACGAGAATAAAGTGAGATAAACGTGCTGAAAACTGCTTAAAAGTATTAACCTGAAATACACAGAGGGTCCAACACTAGTTTTAAAAATACATTAACGAGGTATTCCCAGCTCTTCAATTAATAACGGTGACTGACTGATTCATGATTTTCAAACATTCACCCGAATTTTAAAAAAAGAAGGAAAGGCTAATAGCAGAAAAATCTATAAGTGGTTTGTTCCCAGATTAACGATTTCAGAAAGACTACAAACGACTCGGGACTCCTTGCTGCACGCACCATGCACTGCATCTAGTCAGCATGAGGTATGTTGGGAATCTATTGGACCAATTACCTTGCACAAGAGAGGGGGTGCTCCTGCAGCCAGAAGAGACCCGGGCTGCAGGCCACACCCCTGGCTGGGCGCCAGCCCCCATGCAAAGAATATGGCTTCAAGGAGGACCCCTAATTCTGAGAAATTATAATAGCACTAACTGACGCAGTCAGGAATGCAACTACCCAATTTATGTGCTACAAAAGTTTAAAAACTGTCAGGAGATAGCACAGCTCACACACTGAGTCTAAGTTCTACATTGGTCTGTAAACTCCCTGACAAGAGACTATGCTAGGAGGGGTTAAGTACAGATATTGCTAGGTTTCCAAAGGAAAGGTTTTAAAACAGACACCGTGGCTTTGAATAAAGTATTGCTCTTCTTTAAAATGCTCAGTCATTGCTTTCCAAAAGAAGGTGTCAGAGTGGTGTATCTGAAAGCTGGAAAGCCTCAGAGGGTCACAATGCTCTTAAGACCAAGACAGAAATTGCCATTTCAAGCCAGACAACCTGATGGTTCTAGAAGTCAGAGAAGAAATCTTGAGGGCCCAAGTGAATAATAAGTGGCGCGACGCTCAGAGGCTGGCAATAGGGGCTGTCAATGAAAAAACCGCCTACAGTGGAGAAAAGAGCAGAGAAGCAACACTTGGTGTTAATGTCACAGAATTTGGTGAAGCCAAGAGCTTCATTTATATTTCTCTGCTCTTTCAGCTGTAAGTGGAATTTTCATTACAAAATGGAGGGGTGGGGAGGGCAGAAGGGGGGGAGGGGGACACTTAATTCATTACAAAATTTCAACAGTTGAACTTGCATGGTTACCACTTCTAACAAAGGACTGACAGCTCAATTATTTTAAGTAAAGCAGAGAAATGTAAAAGTTTGCAGCAACTGGGCAGGTTTACAACATGGTTAGTAACTTCCAACAAACAACAAAATTAAAAAAAAAAAAAAAGACTTGGTAGAAACCATTTGAAATGACTGCCATCATGTTGGAAAACAGCACAGCTCCCTTTTTCACCATCATAGAGGGGTTAAATTATGAAGCTGAGTCAGCTACTTCAAAATAATTTTCTAAAGAGAAATCTCCAGAGAGATTCCAACTTGGAATGCAAATTTGACAATCAATTTCAAATAACAATCTGGCTGCAGCTGCCAATTAATAGTATTCCAAACACAGAGAGGACTATTGTAAATATTGAATTAATAAAAACTGGACACTACCAGCCATGCTTTTTCTTCTCAGTGATGGCTCTGTTTCATCCATAGGTCAGCAAAATGAATCAGTGAAACATGAAAACTCCCAGCTGCAATGGGCCCTCAGGTTTATGTCTAGCCACTAATGCACAGGATGAGAATGGTAAGTTCACAGCTATTTCTAGCAAGTGATGAGGTTTTATTAAAGTATCACCCACCACTAATAAAGACTAAAGGTCAAGGAGCAGAAGTAACAAGCCACTGTGATAATAAATCCACATCTGAGAAGTGACACTAACGTTTATTTTAAATTGCCCATCTGATTCTCATTTAGCGGTCCCAAAGAAATCCGGTACATAAATTTGCTATATTTTGCGAAGCCCATTCTCACTGATGGGCACTATTGGGCTCTGAGAAACAGAATTTAAGAGGGAAGAGGGAAGCTAATTCGTACTAAAAACAGACATTTTTAAGACACAGCAACTTAGAAATCTCGACACGGGACCACACTGGTGCCTTCATGGGGGTGAGTACCTTAATGAAACCATTACCTTCTAGTAACATCATAGGCTCTCCAAACAAGGCGAGAATGCAGGGGAAGGCTCAGGTCTGCACCCTTTACAGGACAGCACAATGTTACCAACTGATCATTTTTCACCAGCTTAATCAGATAAATTTTAAGAAAAACTTAAAAATAAATGCTGACCCATGGCTGAAACCTGTCACTTTTCACAGCAGCACTCAACAAGAACTGGGACAATCGAAGAGCAAGTTTTTATGGGGACCCTGTTGCTGCTTTAGATTCTGATGTAATTGAAGAGGAAAAGAGACCTTTCCATGAATCCCAGAAAAATCGCTAATCTTCTATCTGCATGAAAAAAACCAGGGAAGTGAACACAGTATCTTACAGAGTGAAGAAGGCCACAAGAACAAGAGAGGGTGATTGATCGATTAATTTATTCTCTTTTAAAACTTGGAAATTAGGAAACTAAATCACATTCCTCCTTCCCCATCTCTGGGTAGTGCCATCATTTTAAGAAGCAATGCTCGGATCACAGAATATACCTTTCTCATGGGGATGCCCGTGTCCAGCAGTACAAAGGGCTTACAAAGTAAGTAGACTGGCTCGAACTAACAATTGCCTTTGCTTTGTTTTAGCAGTTTCCTTACAAATGAATGGGTTTCTAGGGCTAAGTTATTATTAGTTTTCAATTCCTTGTAATTTGATACCAAAACATATCAAAAATAATAAGCTAAAACAATATTCAAACCCATATTTTATTGGCTTTAATTACACACTTCAGTATTTACAAAGTTAAAGTTTAAATGAAAAGTCTCTATTGTATTAAAAAAAATAACTACAGCCCGAATTCCAGTGCCCTGGGCAAATACATATCAATCAGAGCTAAGACTCGGTGACTGCATCAGGAACCAGGCAGTACTCTGTGTTACAACAAAGCAGTTTATTTGTGATCAGTGTTTGAGACTCTATACATCCTTCACAAATTTAATTTTACATAATCTGATACTCCTCCTAAGACTCAACCTCTGCACTGCTAGACTTATTTCCCTAGGACAGAAGGGCTGGTATAAGGTATTTTCCGGAAGTGAGGTACCGTTTCACAGAACTAGTTCCTTGTTGTTTGTTTTCAAGTTGTAGAGAACTAAATTTGCATTTGTTAAAATCAAAAAGTAGGAAAGATGTTCTTTACAAATAATTTTGATCAAGTATGTGTTCAAAGAAAGCAGGATAAAAAGGCTTTTGCTCTAACATTCTGTATTGTACTGTATTTGTTGTTCAATAGGAATTAGCTTCTGTCATTTGCTAAAAGAATGAGTAGTGGGGAACAGGATATGTTGGGAATTTCATAACGGGCAACAGAACCATTCTCTTGGGTAAACCTACAGAGAAAAGAAACGGAGAGGACTCCAAATAAGTTTAATAATCCAATAAAAATTTCAGGTAAAAAAATATCTTACAGTAATGATCATTAACCTTTTCCAGATTAGTCAGTCAACATGAAGCATTCTGGAGGAGACCCACAAACCTCTCACAGATCTCCTATTTTGAAATTGCTAATATTTTGATAATTGGTATTTTCCACTCAAAATTAAGATGGCTATATCACAGGAAGAATGATATTCAGAAAGCAATTTCATTTGTGTGAGCGGCCATGAATTCTAAAGATCAAAAGCAATGCCACTGATGAATATTCTCAAGGGACTCTAGAAATCCATAATTGTTCTCAATTTGGCACATCACATATTGTAGGAGAAACAGGGATGACTGTCAAGACGCAAAGCACAGCTTTCTGTGCAGGCCTCAGCTCCCCGGAAAGACAGCTCCAGCCGGAGTCGTGACCAGGGGTTTATCTTAACGGCTACTGCCAGTATTGGCGTGGCAAATCTGGAAAGATTAACTACTTTCTTAATTTTGTAATAAACAAGTTCTTGTGGCCTCACAGACTTCTGCATACTCAAGCATGATTTGAAATCTGCTCCTATCTCTATTCTAGTATTTAACCTATGGAGAAATCACAAAGCAGCAACAGCAGGTGTTCAAGAGCACCAGATGATCAGAGGGAAATTACCCCCACATGCAACAGCTTTACAAAGGCCAAAAGACATATTTACCTTACAGCCAAAATAAAGCATTGTTTTAGTAGGTTGGCATCACAGTAACATTTAAAAACCAAATCTTTTATGTGAAAAATGGGGGCATCAAATTTCACCAGCTTTGGAAGTCAGTTATATGGCACATGGAAGAGAGGAGCCTTCTGAAGTGGGGGCTCAGAGGCCGCAGGGTGAAAGTATAATGTTAGAGGAAAGGGAGGCACAAGAGAGAAAAATTAAAAAAAAAGACTGAGGAAAAACATGAATGCAGCTTAAAGCCTAGACACACCCGTGTTTTCAAGAGAAAAATTCAGCTCTCAGTAAACCTGTACTAAAGAACGTGAGACTTACGATGTCTGAAAGAGAGACAAAGAATTAACAACCTGCCCTAGCAGGCAGATGCTTTGGCGCTCACACAAGACACACCACAATGGGACTAGTGAGTCAAAATGTATTTGGATCAACCGCCCAGACCTAATTCACAGGAGGGATGAGGTGGTCAGGATATCCAGGAAGTTGGCTGCATGGTAAAAGCAAATGGCCAAAACAAAAGGAGCTAGAGAATTTGAATTTAGAACAAATTCTGGGTGAAAACATTTTCTCGAATGAGTTCTCAATTCCTTATCACCCCACATCGGGGGATCTGGGGACTCTGGGGAAGTCCTGACCAAACCTGAGCATTCCAGAGGAGACATTCAGGTCAAGGATGAGACCCCAGACTTGGTACTTTGCCATAGAGAAGACTCACCCAAATGTTTGACCCTTGCAGCTTCTCCACATCTTTCCAGTCTATCTTAATGGGGAAAGTGGTCAAACTGTTCATGTTCATTTTCTACTTATTTTTTACAGTTATGAAATCAAATGGAGCCTCCACTTAGCAGTGTCTTAAGGACCCACCATTTTCATCTGAACAAAAATGGAAAAGCTGATGCATGAAGAGAGAAAGCATAATGAAGGGCCCTGAGGCTCGTGTGGAGGACTAACACCACGAGTAGCGGGACATTCAAGGTCCTTCCCCACTGTACACGTGCACGCCCAGCCCAGGGTCGCACCGATACGCACTCACACGTGCACACCCACACACTCACGCTCGTGCGCACACACACTCTTCTTCTCTCAATGGCAAACATCCTGCAGATGGCTGACCTGTAACACGTAGCGCCTGAGTTAGGGAAAATGTCTACGAGGGCATATCACTGACTCCAAACCTACTGCCTCCATTGCCACATAAACCTCATTCAAAAGTTATCCAAAGGGCCACTGAGGTTGACTTCTGCATATGCTTTTATTTTTATTTTTGGAGGGAGAAGAGACACTCCTATGATTTTGTAACATGCTGCACAGACTCTGTGCGGGAAGCACTTCAAAGACACTGCCGGTGACACCCTGTCACCACGCTGGGGCCCACTGATGCCACCTCTAGAGCAAAAGTCATGGGAAAGGATGATGGCTACAAATTTGAAGTGAACATTTCCTAACCCTAACTCAAGTCACCCAGATGGTTTCAAGCCAGACACTTCAATGCAGCCACGTAACCGGCGAGCAGTTCAGCTGGAAACCGGGGATGGCCCTTCAGTAGCCTTTGAATGGAGTGTAAGTTGGCTGTAAGAAGAACTACTTAAAATATTTAATTTCAGTATGGTCAGAAACAGGCAATTAGAACAAGCAGTCCTTCAATCAGGCAAAGCAGAGAGAAGAGCACCTCCAACCGAACCGAGAACCACAAGGTTGTGGCGTTTTCAAAGGGAATTTAAGTTGGGTCACTAGAATGAACAGGTCTGAGATCCTCCAATTCATTTAAAGAAACCCTGGATACAAACTGTGCTTTAGATTGCTGTGACAGCATTGCTAAGAGGAGAAATCAGAAAGATGGTGTACATACCATAGGCAGGGGCAGCTGTGCTGTAACCATACGGTGCTCCATAGCCTAGTGCAGAGAAGAAGAAAGCAGTCAGTCCAGAACACAGGGCAACCAACCGATCCCAGCCCAATTCACAAGTACTGCCTGGCCCAGCACCGTGGGCCCTGAGGACTCCTTCCAGATGCTGGATGAATGAGAACTATACCCAGAATGGCCGAACCCGCCATTCCCGCTTAGCATGACCTATAACATTCTCCTGACCTACTAGAATATCCTGTCTTTCTCCTTGCACTTATGACACTGTATTATAATTATCGACTCCATGTCTGTGTCCCCTACTAGAGTGACAGACACCAAGTCTTAGACATTTTTGTATCACTGCAACTTGGAAGAAGGTCTGGCACATAGTAACCACTCACTAAATATAATTTATTGAACAAATTTGTCTCCTCTCCCTAAACTTAGAATCACTCAAGTTACCAATTTCTTTAAAGCTGGAAAGGAGAACTTTCCAGGTCTCTTGGGAAAGCAGTGACAGGACAGGCTGAAGTCTCAAGTGCAGATCGGGTTGGGGGCTCGGAGACAAGGTCCATGTCTCCTGGTATCTGAATTCCTGGCCCCAGCACAGCATCTCTCAGTAAATGTTGGCAAAACTGACATTGGCCTCTGGTGCCTATGAAAAAGGCTCATACTGTCAATAAAAACAAGTCTGAAGAACAGAGAAGTTTTTGAGCCAATTTGTTCTGGCACTGGTTTCTTTTATGTCCTTAAACATTTAACTTCTGAGTTGCCTTTTCATGCCTGTAAAATGAGAAATCTTCCAAGCTACTCTATAGTGCTGCAGGGATTATAAATACTGTACTAACAGAAGCTACAATCTTTAGTCTTTCAATAAAACAACTTTAAAAATACAAATACTAAATTGCTTGGGTAAATCTTCAGGGAAAATTGGATTCTAAAATAGAACAAAATCTACATGGGCCCTTCACACTGTACCTAAACACAAATCAAGCCTTTTTAACATTACAAGCCCTTTTTCTGTAATCATTTCTGCTGCTTGCAAGGATTTTTTTTTTTCCTCCTTCTCTAGCTGCCCAGCTGCAACGCATCCTGTAGATCAGGATCAAATATCACCTCCTCTGTGAAGTTTCCTGGGTTTGCTGTTTTTTGCACCCCCACCGCCACCAATGTTACAGCTTGCATCATGTTGCACACTGTTGATGCAAGCGTCTGTTCCTACCCCAGATGACCTTCAAGCATTCACTGGGGCAGATGCTAATCATCTTCTAATGCCCAGGTCCAAATCTCTTGCTTGAAACAAAACATTCAAATGTATGCTGAATAAGTAAATTGCTTTTAGGGACTAATGGAAACATTTCCTGAGAGATGGAAATTTTCACTTTTCAGTCTATACTTAAGTCACATAAAACTGGGGATACAATGTAGCCTTAGTCTTTAGTCTTAATTGTAGTCTTTAGTGCTCCCTAAATCCTAGATTTCAAGAGGATACAATGTAGCTGAAAGAAGCAGCTGAAGATATGCAGTAGGAACTGAGGCCAAAAGAGAAATTAATACTTTAAAAAGTTTGCATATCAAATCTATTCCAGGAAAAGGTAGCAAGCTGGATGACTAAGGCTACAGTTTCAAGGGTTTTACCAAAACCTCCTTAAAGAGAGATGAAACTAAAACTATTAAGCTGGCCACCTATCAGGCTGTGGGGTTTGAACCCCAACTTCACTTTCACTAGCAAGGTGACTTTGTGCCTGTTATTTCATCACCCTGAGCCTCACAGTCTTCCATAGTAATTGAGTTGGCAGGGGAATGAAATTAAATAATGTATGTAAAAACACTTACTACAGTCCCTGCTGCAAGAATACACTCCGCAAATGGCATATAACCTATTCATAATCTAATTGACCTAATCTGAATCTTCTCTAGGCTATAAAAGAACTTCATTTTTAAAAGCTTCACGAGAGAGGGGCGCCTGGGTGGCTCAGTCGTTAAGCGTCTGCCTTTGGCTCAGGTCATGATCCCAGGGTCCTGGGATCGAGCCCTGCATCGGGCTCCCT